GATACTGAAGAATTAAACATTTCCGGTCCAACAATCTGTTTCACTTGAAAAAAAATATACGATTAAAATACATGTAAAAAACATTAACTGCAAATAAATCATATTTGCTTTCCATATGGGATTATATTTCGTCATGGTTAACTTATATTTTTGCCGTATATTTATATCTAAATTCAGCTCAAATTTTCTTTTATGAAATAAAATATTTTCCTTTTTGAAAATTTAGCTAAAAAAATAAGAAAAAAATATCGCATTCAAATACGATATATTTTGCATCCAGAATTTTGCAATATGCGTCTGAAAAGTCTTGAACCTGTAAATTTACTAGTGTTGCAAAAATATTCTGACTACTGAGCTGGTAGTTTAAAATAATTTCCACATAAAACACGCTTATGAATATTATAACATCCTTTCTAATATTTAATAGATTAACATTTTAAGCGCTGACCACCGCTTTACCGGAGCGTAGAGAAAAATGACGTAATGCCCAGCGACCGGTTGAACGGTGGTAAAGAAAAATGATGTAATGCCCAGCTAACAGTTGAACGGTGGTAGAGAAAAATGACTTAATGTCCAGCCACCGATTCAACGGTGGTAGAGAAAAATAACTTAGTGCCCAGCTACCGGTTGAACAGTGGTAGAGAAAATTACAATTCTCAGCCACCGATTGAACGGTGGTAGAGAAAATGACTTAATGTCCAGCCACCGATTCAACGGTGGTAGAGAAAAATAACTTAGTGCCCAGCTACCGGTTGAACAGTGGTAGAGAAAAATTACAATTCTCAGCCACCGATTGAACGGTGGTAGAGAAAAATGACTTAATGTCCAGCCACCGATTCAACGGTGGTAGAGAAAAATAACTTAGTGCCCAGCTACCGGTTGAACAGTGGTAGAGAAAAATTACAATTCTCAGCCACCGATTGAACGGTGGTAGAGAAAAATGACTTAATGTCCAGCCACCGATTCAACAGGGGTAGAGAAAAATAACTTAGTGCCCAGCTACCGGTTGAACGGTGTTAGCGAAAAATGACTTAATGCCCAGCCACCGGTTGAACGGTGGTAGAGAAAAAAATTTAATGCCCAACCACCGGTTGAAAGGTGGTAGAGAAAAATAACTTAATGCAACATATAAAAATAAAAAGATTCTCTAGGTGAAAAAGCTACACGCCTGGACATTATGAATGAAATTGTTATTCACAGCAAAAGTTCGTTCAATAACGACTCAGTCACACTATGGGAGAATCTATTAACGTATGTAAGCGACTAGCTAAATCTGTACCTAATATCAGAAAGGGTGAGTTGAAATTAAAAATAAAGAAAAAAGCACTTAACCGATATGTAATATAGGTCCTTCTATAAAGTTGTGAATTTTCTCACAGTTAATAAAGGTGTCTCAAGGGAAACGTGGTTCTACAGAAGCATGCTGAGAATACAATGAACTGAACATGTGCGCAACTATGAGGTCTTAGAGATAACAGAAAGATAAAAGGTCACTTATAATTAACATCAGAAAGAGGCAGTTGAAATGTCTAGGGCACATAATGAGAAAAGAGCATTTGGAAATGTTATATTCACAGAAGAGACTGAACGTAAGCGTCATAGAGGAAAACAACGCCTAACCTACTTGACGAATAAATTGATGACAGAACAGGGTTTACGAGAGATAGAAAGAAGATATAATTTATTAGAGCTACAAGGGACAGGAAATTATGGAGAGCCATGATCATCATGACTTGAAGGGAGACAGCACAAGAAGAAGAAGAGGAGGGGGAAGATGAAGAAGAAGAAGAAGAAGAAGAAGAAGAAGAAGAAGAAGAAGAAGAAGAAGAAGATTTGGTTTGGTTTGGTTTACAGCATATCAACCTCAATGGGTTATTTTAATGCTGACATGATTTTTATTGCTAGTCATATTATTTTTTCTTCGAAAATTCATTGCTGGTAATAATTTTTTTTTTTCAAAATCGTCTTGCCTATTTTTATACTTTCATAGTATTTTGATCCCCAGTTTGGGAGGAGGGTTAACTATTTGCCCATAGTTGGGACCCTAACAGATGCTACCAGTCTTTCTCAGGGTGGACTTGGGAACACTAGCAATTAAGAAGTGGTTCTACGCTCCTCAAAACCTCCTGATCAGAGGCCTTGCTGCTGGATGCAGTTTATCCTCTTATCGTGGAGGAGGGTGATAATAATAATAATAATAATAATAATAATAATAATAATAATAATAATAATAATAATAATAATGGAGATAAAGTAAACCAGAATAAACTATTGGTGATACAGAGAGACATGAAATAAGTACCTCCAGTTTGAAGACGGTAAATTTTGATAGATTTGGAAATAGTAAAATCAGTGCTGGGAGAAACATAAGAAAGCGAATCTCTTCGATGATTAACAGTAAGAGATTATAATTTTTACGTTAAGGAATAAATTCAATTATTCGGTTAAAACGTAAAAAATGTACTTTAATAAGTGGACGATGAATAGCTGTGATCTTGAATCCTACTGCTTTCCTGCTGCCATCTTGCAGCATGTTCAGCAAACTGTAGATGATGGACCTGTTTAGGAGCATATTTCAAGATGCAAATCTCAATTTCAAATTTCGACTCAGCTAAACTAACTTGAAACAAGTGCCGGCTTTCATTTTTCTTTTAAATCCAAGACATTTTTGCTTACGCGGTCAGCGTATCGCCTCAAAATTCTTTAAGAGCGAAACAGTTGTATTTCATTAATTAGTCAACTTTATTGTATTTTATTTACTTTTTGTTGTCAATTTTTTCCTAAATTTGGCCAGAGAAATATTTAAGAATTAAGATCTCTGAGTCGACATTATTTAAAAAAAATATCCTAAATATTCGTGAAAAATATCTCTTTCGACTCATTACCATAGCTGACACAACAAGTCTTCCTAGTATGTACTTTCAGGATATAGGCGATTATGGCTCTCCACAGCTACTTTCTTTTAGTGCTTTGAGGGACTCTCTTGAATATTTATCCTACAACACACGTAGATCAGTGAGCTGTTTAGAAGCGGATTTCAAGATCCAAATATCAATTTCAAATTCGGCTCAGCTAAGTTAACTTGAAACAAGTGCGGGCTTTAATTTCTCTCTAAAGGCAAGATCTTTTTGCTTACGCGGTCAGCGTATCGCCTCAGAATTCTTTAAGAGCGAATGTGTTGTATTTCGTTATCAATTTTCTTTTCCCATGCGACTGATCCCCGAAAATGCATACCCGCGGAGGAGCGAAATTGAAAGCAAAGCAAACAGGAAGGAAGCGTAACATTGTCTATTGATTTGTCTTATAAGCATTGATAGCGAAACGACGTAAATAACGTCTCACCTGTCCCTGTACGAGACGACCTTGGCTTCATGCTTCATCCACTTATCTCCCCCCGCCTCAACGCCAACCCAAACCTGCTGACTATTCATTGCACTGGTGCTGATAGCACAATTGCATCTGTCATCCACATCCTGACCTCTGCTCAACCCCACAGACCCCTGCCACTTCCTATAAATAGTGATGGCGACGGCATTGAGCATTAAGCTGGTCATGAGTTAGAATTTCGGTTGTGGACGTGACTAGATTAGCGGATATTAGTCACGTGATCACGGCGATTCGCACAAGACATTAAGATCTTCTTAGGGACGCTCATGATGACAACGTTAATGACTGCGAAGATGGACGATAGACGATCAAGTCAGATAGACACACAAATGAATACTTCGATGCAAGCACAGACCTACCCCGGCTTCTTTTGTCAATAAAAGGTTCATCTCGCATCCACTTTATCCAACCATTCCATTTGACGAAGGCAGAAGCCTTAGATAGAAGAGTCCAATGAAACCCTTGTCCGAAGACCTTTTGAAATCTAAGGTAGTATCCGGCCAGCGGAAACAGAGAGGCAAAGGTCAGGCCTCGGAGCATTCACTTCGTCAATAATCTACCATGGCTTTTAGCTGATCCAATCCGAATTCGTTTGACGCGATTCAATTTTACTTGTGACATAAGCTTCGCTGACAGTTTCTCGAGTCGCTCATCATTGGTTCGGCTTCAAGAGGAATAACAATAAGTTTTGTCACCTGAGTAGGCCTTGTAAGAAACTGATTAGCCGTGCAGAAAGATTCCGACCACTGAGAAGACAAAATTCTAATCAGTTGTCGATGATTTATTCAAATAAAATTGAAAAGTTCTCGATTATAAAGTCTATTCATATCCATTCACATGTGCACAGACATGGCGCATATTATTTACAGTGTTTACATTCAAACTAATGACCTCATCTTTGTTGTTATTATCACAGCGTCCCAGCCGTTGTGGCCTCCGGCTTTCTTCTAATGTCTATTTATCTGAGTAACGTTCACGAATTTTTTTTTTCAATCTACAAGGTTACATTTTTCTCTCCCTACTGAGTCATAGTTGGTAGGACCCGATACAGGGATTAAAATCAAATCACTATATTTCTTTTACTTTTTTTTTAATCAATTCACCCCAATCAATCCGAAAATAGCATTAGTGTCCAGGACGGTAACAGTGAAAGTGAAAGTGAAAGTGAAAGAGAAAGAGAAAACTGAGAATAGTTAGGATTGAGGAACGGACAAGAGATGAACGGGATTCAAGACGACGTAAGATGGCGATTGACGTTGCATTCAAATTTTTGAAGATTGTAGATTTCAAAGAAGAAGGGAGACGGCAGAAAGTTCCAAAGGTAGGAATTGCGATAAGAGTTAATGTTGGAGTAGAAGTGGCGGTGGCATTTGGTTATTTCAACAGTAAACAAGTGGGACCTAGATGCCAATCTAGTAGCACGCTTAAACTTATTTATTCGGGACACGAAGGGAATAAAAGCTCATCAGAGTAGTTGCCATGGGGGCGGGGGTACAGGTAAAGAAATTGAAAGAGAAAACTGAGAATGGGGAATTGCGGAACGGACAAAAGATGAAAGGGGTTCAAGAAGACAGAAGATAGCGATTGACGTTGCATTTAATTTTTCGAAGATTTTAGTTATCAGGGAAGAAAGGGAATGAGAGAGAGAGAGAGAAAGAGAGAGAGAGTTCCCAGGTGGGAAGTGCAAGAAAAACCTGTTGGAGTAGAGGTGGCAGTTACATTTAGCTATTTCAACAATAAATAGGTGGGATCTTGGTACCAATTGGATAGCCCGCTTAAATTTTGTCAGAGAAGTTGCTATAGAAATATTTATAGAAAAGACAGAGGGAAGCCACAATCGTCAGTGAGAAAGTGACTGAAGTCGAGATGCCTTTGGAAAAATATCTTATTGAATGAAAGAATTGCTTTGTGAATTTGTTGATTTACTAACGTTGAAACAGGGTGAGCAATAGGAAGAAGTTGATATGAATAGATATAGACACCTGAACTAGTACAATCTATCCCTTAAAAACTGATGTTCAACCAATACATGACCCAAGAGCCCCTCATGGTAGACGGTTGCTCTGCGGTATGAGCGTAAGAATATTAAAGAAGTGCAGTTTCACAAATTTTTGGATGAATCTAAATAGTGAAACATATAAAACTTATGAAGGTTTTTCGATTTGTTCCTTGTTTAATCGTTATGTATGATTTAGTCCAAGTTTTCAATTTATCCGGTTGTCCAAAAGTAAATAATAAAAGTAATAGAAAATTCTCACCAGATATATATATATATATATATATATATATATATATATATATATATATATATATATATATATATATATATGAAGAAATATAGTTTAAAGGTGTGCGATATTTATGGGATAAAAGGCTCCATATCAGAGATAGAGCGTATGTAAATATAAATATAAAAGTGAACATTGAAGTCAATACTCAGAGGATGCGGCCTAACGATTGCTTACAGCATGAAACAGCCTCTGAGTGTTGACTTCAATGTTCACTTTTATACATACATATATATATATATATATATATATATATATATATAAACGACAGTATATGTCTAGAAAAACGAAAAAACGGCAGCAATTGAAAAAAAAGGGAAGAAAACGAAGAAAAATACATAAAAAGTCAAGAAGTGAATGTAAAGTGGAAAAAACGAGAAAACGTACATACAATGACAACACTCTCCACATATGCATATTAAGCGCAGACAGGCCAATGGCCGTACACGCGAACGCACACGCATATGTACACAGGCACATACACATACACTATGAAAAAAGTATTGTATCAATAAAAAGTGCATATAAAATAGAAAAAGGAAAATTATAAACAATCAATTGCTGTTACCCCCTGACAAGTTGACGGAGGGTCGGTCTACGTAACTCTGGAGTTGAGATGTTGAAGGTAACATCATTCTGGTAAGTGACAAACCTTTTACTTGTATTAATTGTATATATATATATATATATATATATATATATATATATATATATATATATATATATATATATATTACACACAATAAACATTTCCGCTACAGCGGTTTCTAGCAATGAAGGTTTCCTCCGGCAGTGAGGTCTTTTAATGCCTGAGGAAAGCTTCTCTGGTAGAAAGCACGATAACGTAAAAGGTTAGTGTTTGTAATATTTTAAATATTAACTGGCCCTACACATTCCATTATTGGGTCTGTATATTACGGAATTTAAAAAAAATATATATTTGTCCATTTCACAATGTGTGACATATATATATATATATATATATATATATATATATATATATAAAATATTTATACCCCTACACATATATATATATATATAATATTATTATTTATAAAAAAATTATAACATAAGTATGTTATAAAATCACTAAAATTATTTATTATTTACAATTATTTATTATTTACAATTTATTTTATCTTCAACATCATCACTTGATAAGACACCGAGTGTGTTGAAACAAAATGGCTATTTTTGTAGTGATTTTATAACATACTTATATATGTTATAATTTTTTTATAAATAATAATTATATCTGCTCTACTTTGTATTAAGCACTCTTTTAAGAATAGTAATTGTTGGTTATTGGAATTCATTCCATATATACCAATTATATACTTGGGTATATATATATATATATATATATATATATATATATATATATATATATATATATATAATATATAAGTTGAAATCAACACTCAGAGGCGACAGGCTATTTCATGCTAGACGCAATTGTTAGGCAGCCTGACGATTGCGTCTAGTTTGAAACAGCCTGTCGCCTCGGAGTGTAGACTTCAATGTTCATTTTATGTTTATATTTACATAAACTCTCTGATATTGACCACTTTATCTCATAAATATAGCATAGCTTAAAACTATATTTCTTTATCTATCTATCTATCTATATATATATATATATATATATATATATATATATATATATATATATATATATATATATATTCAGTATATAATTACACAACCACGCAGCCATCGGTAACTAATAATAATCTCTGCTGTTATGAGAGCCGTTCTGCTGTCTGGAAAGAATCTCTGAGACTAGGCATTCTTCATAGTTTAGAAAGAATGGGGAATACTAAACATTGATCAACGCTCGAGGGTCAAAGAAAAGACCAACTATGGCATTTGTCTTCACCCCACAGTGAGAGGTTATTATACAAAACTGGTTTAATGTAGGCTGCCGTACACAATTACGACCACTGTCACATTAGCATCACTTATAAGGGAGTTGCTGGCACAGGGATTAAATCAACAGGACTAGGCATTCCTTAAAGAGGAAGAGATCAGAAGCTACACTTTGATCCCAGTCCAACCACTGTAGGGCGTCTATTCTGAAGTTATTTATCTTGCCGCATCGCCTTGATAGGATTTGAAACAAGGTCAGTATAATGAGGCGTGCCCGTATGCGTAGATATGAGCCAAGAACAAAACAATGAACAGTTCTAGTGATGAGTGTGAAGTTAGCTTTGATATTCATCAGTCCTCTCTCGCCTTAGTACCTTAAAGAAGATGCTGGCGCAAGGTAGGAATTCTTAATTACTTAATTACAGAACCGTGAACAGCCCGTAAGCAGAAAGGAGGAGAGCTGATAATACACTTTGAGCTTTGGTAATGACGTTTTGATCCTAGGCAGAGAGCCACAGAACGGCAATCTGATTCGAGACAAAAATTGATCCTCGATAGAAATGCAGATCTATACGGCAATAATCACCTTATTTTTACGGCTATTTTGCCAACATTCAATATAAAATTGCAATGTCCAGCCGTGCGTTGAATAATTGGATATTTCTCGTTGGCTTAAGCTGTCGATGTTCTCGTCGAAGGGAAAACGTTAAAGGATTTCGAACGCTGATCTTAAAAATGGGCAGATTCTCTTCTAAAGGAAGACAGACACAATACAATTTCCTACCCTGAATTCCTAGCGTTTGACGTGATGCTGAACCACAGTATGCTTCCAAACTAAAAATGAAAGACGAATATAATACTGATACTTGAAGTGATGTCCTGATCAAAACGCTTGATATTTTTTTTACAATGATTATCACCATTTATAAGTCCCGTAGCCACTCGAGATAGAGGGTTACACGATTAGTTTATGTGAGGAAGATAACGGTTAAGATTGTAGTGATCGGAGAAGCATCTATTCCACAAAGAAGGAGAAACAGCTGCTCGAGTGGAACTTACATCTCACAAAAGGAACACAAAGGGAATGAGGGCGGTTCGTTACAATGGGCGTGGCATTGCGAGTCTTAGCCGTGAAAGTTAGAATTGGTGGAACCAAAGAGGGTAGCTCTGAAAAATTTCCATGGAAATAGCGATAAGGCAGTGAGAGGCTTTTGACGTTTTGCTTTTGAGAAAAGTGTTCTAGGGTGGGAAATAATCTTTCGGATAATCTGTCATAATGTACCTTGTACCAGATTTTTTGTTACGGTGGTTCTTACAGCACAAAGCCAGGAGCCTCTCAAGGTAGGGGGACTATAGAGTGTTGTGGAGTTATTTCGCAGTGGAGGCTTGTATATGTACTGAATCGGCCCTAAAATAGGTTCGACGTACAAAACGTTAGGAACTTGATATAATACGTATAACGCAGAGTAATCTAGTTGTGGCCGCTGAATACTTTCGTATTCGACTAACTGTCGTCCGGCATCGACTGACTCACCGACCGACTTCATCCCTCGTTACTCTTACTACTCCTACTTATTATAGGTGGAAGAGTCTATTAACTATAGAATAGGTATGTTCCACCATAACATGGACTTAGAGCAAGCTTATGCGGATGTGTATGAAAGATAACAGTTAACCGTAGACTTGTATAGGTTAAGATTGTACGGATCGAAGTAGGATATTGTTGGGAGTCTGTTCCACAAGGCAGAGGTTGGTGCGAAGAAGCAGCTTGAGTAGAGCTTACAAAGAGAATAAACGTGATTCGCTACAATGTGTGTGGCATGGCGCGTCTTAGCTGTGAAGGTTAGCATCAGTGGAACTAAATAATGTAGTTCGACTGAGCACTTTCCATGGATATAACAACGGAGCAGTGAGAGGATTGCGAAGTTTCATCTATGAGAAAGAAGTTGCAGAGTGGAAACTAATTTGTCACTCACAAGGACGCGGAGACGCTACCTCTGTCAAGATTAGAAAGTAAAGACTGATCAGCGCCTGCCAGCATAAGGCAACAGTATTCCATTTTTGGACTGATCTGGCTCTTGTAAATCAAGAGGATAAAAAGTGGAATCATTAACTGGAGATTTAGAGGGCTGACCATCTTTCCAGTATTATTAGAGATGGATCCTATGCACTGGCTTGAGTTTAAGACCCAATAGGCACTCAAGGCAGGTCGGCTCACCGAGGGAACATCCATTAATCGTGATTGTTTTGTATCCGATCGGTGATGTAACTAGTTTAGTTACCTGTTTTGATAAAGTTCAAAATCGTCTACACGGCCTTGTGGGTGATTAATGCCCAAGTCTCTCGTTTCTCTATCACTATTTCCATGGCATGCGTTTCAACGCCCTATGTTCCTTGGTTCTACCAGTCATGACCTTTGCAACTGGGATCCCCCATCCCAAGTACACAAGGTTGAATCATCTCCATTCCATCTTGTTAGCAAGTAACTTCCACTCGGATCACATGATCAGAATTCGAACATACCAATCAGGCACGCTCTCATTACATACACACATGGTAGTTTTAATTGTCGTATTCATCCAATACATGGCTTTAAACGAGTACAGTTAAAATGGTAGTAACTAATGAAATGTGTGTTGTTAATGAAAGGGAAAATGGAAAAAAAAGAAATGCGGAATATTAAAATAAGGATGATAAATAAGGATTGACTCTTGACTTAAAAAAAAAACTAATATTTTATGTTCATACCACACCCCAAAGTAATACTCTACTTGACTGGCTCTTGGGCCTCGTAGGGTGAACATTATTATAAATGTTCGCTAAAACTTCGTCATTCCTCAAATGTTCAGTCCATGTTATTCTCTTCCCAAGTCTATAGAACCACATTTCTCTTGTTTGTAGTCTCTTCTTCATCTGTGAGGAGATTGTCTCACATTCACAGCCATGTAGAAGGACCAGTATCACCAATATCACATAAAAGTTAAGATCTCTTTCCTTTATTTCTGAAAAGATTCTTCTGTTTTTTTTAATACTTTCTTTTATCTGGAAGGCTTCTTTCGCTATCCCAATTGTGGAAAATATTTTAAAATACATTCTGTTTAATACCAGACGAAGATTAACTTTTTTTTTTATTATTTTATATATAGTGCACAGTAAAACGACTAAAATGCAATTTGCGCTAACACATCTTGTGGAAATAAAATTTATGACTTATTAAAACTATTATTATTGTTCTTGAAAAATAGTATCTGCAACCATGTCAATGCACTAAAAAGTTAAAGTACGATATATTCTTCTTGGTGATATGGCAAATATAAAGTGATCTACTGTGCTTAGGAAAAAAATAGTGATTTCTTTAAAGGCACGTCAACATTTTATGGGTCATTGAATGCCGAAATATATATTTTGTGGGGAGCTTTGAAGAAATATGTTATTCTGGCTTCACAATTAAATACATGGTAGATGATGCTCAGCTTGTGAATATACATGCTTGTGTTGGCATAATTACTAGAGGCGGTGATGTGTGTGTTTTTGTTTTTAAGTTATATTTCGGAATATAGTTTGATTTAAGAAATTGTAGAACATTATATGGATTAATATCATAGAAGATCATGTTGCTTGATTTTGGCTTCAACTAAATATATTTTGAATGTAATTGTATGACTTTGACTACAGATAAAATATAATGCTGGTTATCTATTGTAGGTCTTTTTATATAAAAATGTATTAGTGGTATTTTTACTATTAAAGTGTGTTTATACTTTCGTAATGTTTGTGTTTGGAAGACTATTTTCCCATCGTTGGGAGATAACAGGTGCTACGACCCGGGGTCAGGGTGGACCTTGGAACAGAAGCAATTAAGAGATTCCCATAGTCTCCAATCTCTCAATCAGAGGCTTTGCTGCCGGATATTGTTTATCGTCATAACCAGGATTTGTTTAGGAAATAAAAACGTAATAGTATTGATGCCAGTCTGGTAATTAGTTTAAGCAAGATGGAAAAATTGCTAAGATTAATCCAGAAATATGTATATTAATATACAGGGTTTGGACAAAATAATTGGAACAGTTGCAAAATCCACTTCTATATTTCAAAGACCCATTATATTAAGAACTTTAACTAAAACTTCGTAATTACAGGTTATATCTATTATAAATACATTTATTTATCTAATTTACTGTCTTTGACTTATTTATTTTTAGAATTTAGTAAAATTTAAGCTAAATGCGTGACCTCTCCGAGTTTGAAAAAGAGCAAATTGTTGGAGCTCGCATGGCAGGAGCCTCGATCACTAAGGTTGCTGAACTGTTTGGTTTTTCAAGAGCTACCATATCAAGAACACTGATGCAAACAGGGCAAGACCTCTAGCAACCGTAGCAATTCGGGCCGGACTTGCAAACTTACTGACAGGGATTGACGTCTATTGAAACGCAATGTGTCAAAAATTATCGGACAAATGCGGCCAAAGTGACTGCTGAGTTGAATAACCATCTGAATAGTTCAGTTTCTACTAAAACTGTTCATCGTGAGCTCCATATGTCATGGAAGAGCCGCTGTGAGGAAACCTCTTCTCTCCACTCGCAACATTCAAAAGAGGTTGAAGTAGTTCAGAAATCACAATGCCTGGTCTGCAGACCAATGGAAGCAAGTCATATTCTCAAACAAGTCCAGTTTTTTCTCTTTTGCCAACTTCAGGGGTGAGTTTATGTATGGAGGCAGCCCAAAGAAGCTTACAATCCTGACTGCCATCTTCCAACAGTGAAGCATGGACGTGGAACAGTGATAGTTTGGGCTGCCATATCATGGAAATGTCTCAATCCGATAGTTGCCCTGCATGGTAGAATCAACAGCAAAGATTACCTGAACATTTTGGGAGATCATGTTCATCCAATGATGGTGACTGCATCTTCCAAGACGATAATGCTCCAATACATACCGCTCGAGTGGTTAAGAATTGGTATGAAGAGCATGAAAGTGAGCTAGAACACATGGAGTGGTCTCCCCAATCTCAAGATATCAATATTATTGAACATTTGTGGTGCATTTTGGAGCAACAAGTTAGGAGCGGCTATCCTCCACCGTCGTGTCGTAAAGAGCTGGAGAAGGTTTTAATGGAAGAATGACTGAAAATTCTTCTGGATGAAGTCAGCTGTCTGTGAGGCTGAAGGAGAACCAGCTCCATATTAAATAAATCTTCTTTGAATTTAACAAGTGTTCCAATTATTTTGTCCAACCCCTGTTTATCTAAATAAAGAGAAAGAACAGATTAAGAATCCACCGTTCTTACTATTTATTTTTTTAAAAAAAGGTGCTCAATACAACTTAGAGGAAAATATTATTACAATAATTTTTATTATAATATTATAATAAAATAGTATAGTAATATTAACATATATGTAACCATATAAATCGATAATGTTTTGTAATTTTAAATACAACATAATTTACAAAACATGTAATATAGTTATGTTTGCTTGCTCTGCAACAAGAGCATCCCACTATGTAAAGATGACTTCTCATCCATTTTGCGAATACTAATCCAGTTAAGTTACAACTGTGTTTATATTCAACACCATCAGAGCCATTCTGTCGTTTATTATTCAACATGCTGAATAGAGCTTTTTTTTAATTATAATTTCTTAGAGAGAACGTTCAATCTGGCGTGATCAGCAGTTGAGCAAGGGAAAAATAACTTGTGACCTCTTACTTGTACAACCATCGACTGCTTCTAATCAAATTTGCCTTACACCGGTTGGGTAGGATTTTCAAAATTTTCCAACAGGGCTGCCTTCACGGGCAACTAACAAGTCAGCCACGGCGAGATACGAACAAGCCTCGCAACGCTAATGTTCAAATCACTCGGACACGCCAGCATAAAATTTATACTTCATAATTACTAAATACCTACATTACACACACACTCTCAGACACAAACGGAAGCACACACGCACACTGGCGCATACAGATAACGGTTACGTAAATGACTTCAGCTCACCTGTGTGTGTATGTGCTTCGAAATTAGTGTGCTTGTGAGTGTGTTGATCAGGGATTTCTTTGAAATTGGTACCATATAACATAAAGTCGCCCCAATGCAATAAACTAGAGGAGCTGATAATTTAGACAACGAATTTTATTTTTACTAAATCCAAGATGACAGATGCTAAAGAATTAATTCCACCACGACTTTTTTTCACACGTGGGATGTGCAGTGATTTACTGACAGCGGATACTCATTTTCCTAGCGCACTCGCATGCTTGACGGCTGAGCAGACCTTAGCTATAAGATCTGCTAGAGAAGCGCCTAATGTGGCGGGATCAACAGTTTTGTTTTGGGTTTTTTTAACAAGACCAGTACGTTCTTGTGATTTCATGCTAGCACAATCGCCGAGTACTCAATTTCACTGTCAAAAAATTCAGTTAAGCCGTGGTATGAGTGTTTTTTTGGCACTTTCCAAATTGGGGTCGCCTTCCAATGCTGGTAGCATCAAAAATCACCTTCCTGTCAAATTGACCATGTTGCGAGTCGAATCTAGATCACATGATCAGAAATCGATCATACCTCTCAGCGACGCTTCCATTATATACGTACATGTTACTTTTAATTGTCGTATTCATCCAATACATGGCTTGAAAGCGAGTCATGTTAAAATGTTTGTAAGGAATGAAACGTGTGTTGTTAATGAAAGAGAAAATGGTAAAAAAGAAATGAAGAATATTAGAATCAGGATGATAGATAAGGAATGACTCTTGACTTAAAAATGGTTAACATATTATGTTCATAGAAACATTCACGTGTGAAGATAGATAGATAGATATGAACAGATCTAGATAGATAGATAGATAGATAGATAGAGAGAGAGAGAGAGAGAGCGTGAGTGGGTGAGTGAGAGATGAGAAAATTAGACAGAAAGCATGCGTGTCATATAGATATTGATACAATCTGTTATGAAAATTTTCAAATAGATATGAAAAGAAGATAAGAAAAACACACAGATAGATAGATAGATAGATAGATAGATAGATAGATAGAAATGAACAGACTGAAATAGATAGAAAGATATATAAATATATATATATATATATATGGAAATATATATATATATATATATATATATATATATATAGATAGATAGATAGATAGATAGATAGAAGATAAAAGTAGACAGAAAGCATGAGTGTCATATACATATTGATACAATCTGATATGTAGACATTGAAATAGATATGAAAAGATAGATAGATAGATATGAACATACTAAAATAAATAGGCAGATATGAGCAGAGTAAAAAGTGTATATATATATATATATATATATATATATATATATATAGCAAAAAATAATGTTAACGATATAAACATGTATTGATGTGTTTAAATAAAACCAATGTCATGCACATTATAAAATCTAATGTTACCAGTCAAAGAGAAATATCTACAGAACAAACATAAAACTCAACTATGTAAATATTTTCATTTTCTTTCTAGATGTGTCATATTTACAAGTAATATTTATTCTTTTTTGCAGAATCTTACCAACGTTCCAATTATTTTTGCTCTTGAAGATGTACAACTGCATATAAACGTTTCTTTGTTTTCGTTTTTATAAAATTCAAACGGATTTCCTTTTTAAAATGAAAACCTAAATCAAGTGCTTAAGGATTTTTTGACATTTTCGATCATGGTCGACCTCTTTACAAAAGATAGTAGAATTGCAATGGCATGAGCAAAAGTATCAAAAATAGACACCATCGAGAAGTCAGAAATAAAAAAATGTGAGAAATTGCAGCTCAAACCTAGAATAGCAACGAGATCAAACTGCTGTTCGTTAACAATACCAGATCGTACCTACACTTGACAATTAAGAGCAGCGCTAGTGTTCAGCAATATATGTTCATTGAAGGACAGTTTGGGAAATTAGCCAATATTACAGACACAAAGCGAGGGCGATTTGGTGGAAAGTAATGGCGAAGTAAAACGTACATCAGCTTATAATATGGGATTCAAATTAAGGGAAACATCAAGATGTCGACCTGCAAGAACAATCATCAATCACCTCATAGATGACATTGGAATCAGAATTTTTTTAAGCATTTCACCCCGAGCAAGGCGGGGGTGCCATTAGCACGCAAGGGGTTACAGAGAGTGGAAACAAGAGGAAAGAGGCGTGACAGAGGAAATGATGAAGAGAAGGACGAAGAATAGGGCAAAGCATCTGGAGATGTCGATTGTCATTGCATTAGAATATTTGGATGTGAAAGCTATCAGGGAAAGGGGAGTTCCGTCGACGGGAAGTGCGAAACATGAAGCTATTGGAGTAGAAGAGACGGCTAGATTTAACCTTTTCGACAGTGAAAGGGTGAGACTGAGATGCCAACCTAGTGGCACGTTTAAATTCATGAAGTCTGGGAACCAGAGGAAGTAGCTTGTCGGAGCAGTTACCTTGGAAGTATTTACGGAAAAGACAGAGGGAAGCGACGGCACGAATGTGAGAGAGCGACTGTAAATGATATGCCAGATCAGTGCTAATCACATTGCATATCAGTCTCTGGATTTTGTTGAGGACCTTAAGACAAACATCGGAGGCTCGAGACCATATATGGCAGTAGTATTTCATGTAAGGGGGAATAGTTGATTTATATATTTAAAGGATGGACTCAGGCGAGAAAATGGAAAACTAGGCTGAACATAAGATAACAGAAATAGTTGGAAAGAAGCAGTCAGAAGTGTTTGTTTGAAGACGATCATCTGGAATAATTAAATAATTTTTAGTGCATTTTTTTTTTATCTATTCACAATATTCTCTATCGAGGAGGGAAGTACATCTGATAAATTTTCCGATTCTGGATTCGAATTTTAATGTTTGAGTTTCGAAATGAAAATGAGAAATTTAGAGTCGATAAAATGGATTTGAATGTAATATGGAGCAAAAAACAAGTAATCTCGCATTTCTGCAAAACACATTCTTGAATAAATTTCGAAATTATCTTCACAAGATTTGTCGGACATGGAGAATATTTTAGGGGCAAAAGAATAAGAATTTAAGGGCAAACAGGAAAAAGGAGAAAAAGAAAGAGATGCTGCTAAATAAAACGAAAAGAAAATGAAACACGGAAATGTAAAGTGATGGTCGAAGATGATGCAGGAAGTGAACGTAAAAATAAAAAAAAATAGAAGATAAAAAGACGAGAATGAGGAAAAGAAGGTAGACAGAAACAAGAGAAAAAGAAAAAGAAATGATATGAAAAGAAAGAATGGAAAGTAGTGAAGAGAGAAGCAGAGAAAAAAAGAAAAGGAATAGATATAAAAATGCGATAAAGAAATAGTTGGAGGAGCAGTAAAGGAAAAGGAGAATACTGAGAAGGTAGAATAAAGAAAGAAAGAAAGAAAGAAAGAACATATGGGAAAAAATGATAAGAAAGAAAAAAAGAATACTGATAAGAAAGAAAGAAAGAAAGAAAGAAGAAAATATGGGTAAAATGATAAGAAAATATGGGTAAAATGAAAAAAAACAAAAAAAACAGAAGAATTGAAGGAGATGTAGAAGAAAGAAAGAAAGAAAGAAAGAAAGAAAGAAAGAAAGAAAGAAAGAAAGAACGAAAGAAAGAAAGAAAGAGAAAATATTATATGAATCGAAATAATCATTAGAGAAACATACAGGCAAAAAGAAGAAATAAATAGAAGCACGAAAAAGAAGATAAAAGAAAGAAAGAAAGAAAGAGAGAGAGAGAGAGAAAGGAAGGAAGGAAGAAAGGAAGGAAGGAAGGGAGGGAGGAAGGAAGGAAGGAATGAAGGAATAAAAACTGAGGTTTGGGAAAGATCTTGGGGACAAATGCAGGAAAAGGAAAGAGGAAAGAAACTATAGATAAAATCTGAAAAACGAACTGTATTGATGATGATGATGATCATCATCATCATCATCATCATCATGAAGAAGAAGAAGAAGAAGAAGAAGAAGAAATAAAGGAAGAATTACATGAATAAATTTTTACGTTTGAGAAATATCTTTAGAATCAGGTGCATGAAGAGGAAAAGAGAAATTGAAAGAAACTATGGAAAAATCTGAAGAAAAGGAAACAAATTGAAAAAGAAAGAAAGAAAGAAAGAAATGAAGAAAGAAAGAAAGAAAGAAAGAAAGAAAGAAAATATGGATAAAACTGATAAAGAAAAAAAAAGGAAAAACATTAAAACGAAAATGAATAATATTAAAGAGAAAAAAAAACAAAAGAAAGAAAAAGAAAATTCCGGATGATGGCAATAATCACTTTATTAATGATGATTACCAATATTGATAATAGACCTTATCACCATGGCAACAGCGATCATGTGAATAGCGACGAGGCTAGCCAGTCTCACACTGATTAGAATGATGATGATCACTGTAATTATAATAATGATTTCGATCCTAATGAATATTAGCAGCAACAGACTGAAACAGATTTTGAATTGTCTTTCCCGAAGGAAATGCCAGTCTCATTGCGAAGGACAATTTTAAGGGAGATTAACATCAGATAATGTTATTCAAAATCAGTCTCCACCAAATTTCTTATTAAATATAATGAGGCATCGAGAAAGATGGCCATGCTGTGTGATGTAAATAATGAGGTCGCTGGTCAAGCGTTGAAACCTGAAAACGCTTTATGAGTAGCAAATTAATGTCTAAACTTTCTTATTAAATCAAATAAGGTTTCATTCTGAACCCATCTCTCACACAGTCAGACACACACACACACGTTCCCGCTTTCTTTCTCTCTTCGTGTTTGTGAATTCATAATTACTAATCTTAGTTTGGCACAAGGTCAAAACAATGAGTCATATCGTGTTATAGTTCCTTCAAAATGCACCGCGGTAGTCGCTTCGTCCTTAAAGTGTCCCAAAGATGGAATTCTTCAAGAACACTGGCTTTTTCGTGTCCCAGACATTAGCTCTAAACATTAGACAACGAGAGATATTTATCTGTCTTTAGTCTATTTACATTGTTAGGACTACTATTATCGTCTTTATTGAAACAGTCACGATGTTTCGGCCGTTTACGCTCAGGCCTCATTCAGGTGATATTTGGAATTTCGAAATACTCCTTTATTTAGACCACGGGGGTAGATTGTTCTAATTCCACGTGCCATGCCTCTGGATATCTCAGTTTTAGTTAATTCCCCTGGAGAAATCTCCAAATTTATATACTCTCTGCTTAGGGTCAAGTCTCTTTTAGGATTAATCAACCGAAACTTTTATCCACTCGGGCATGTGTTCTTGAAGACAGTCAGTGAATTTTGGGGACTTATAAACCTAATGACTCAGTAACCATCTATGTCTTTTATATGCCATATTCTTTTATGGTGTGCGTAAAGATGGCTCTCTGTTATGTACACTATTTATATTATTTTATTGTGAGTTCAATCCCTGATCCGGGTAGAGTGTACTTGGTACCATTGGAAACTTAGCGAGCAATAACGTATGAATACTCAAATAATGAGACCATAATGTCCCTCATCATGGGTACTGGAAAGAGAATAGCTTGTCTCTGTAAATTAAATAAAGGGTCCAGTTCGGAATTCTGGAAAAGTTACACGGATCAATCAGTTGTTGAAGGCCGGGTGGGGGGAGAAACAGCCAATAACGCTGTGATAGCAACAACGAAGATGTGAATGATAGTCTGAATGTAAATAGTGTAAATAATGAAAATTCCTCATCAAAAGAAATTCACACATAAATTGGAGCTCTCCACAGCTTTCTGTCTTCCTTTAAAAAATCTTGCCCTTCTACGATACTCATTTCTTATTATTCAAACATCCATTCACACCCTATATAGGTTACTTGTTATTTACTCCAGCTTCTCTTGCTTTCCATATGTCCTTAAGCGACAGATTGTCCACCTGAATTCTTATGATGTGCCTCAGTAATTTATTTTCTTTCTTGTATGATTCCGTTTATCGCAGTTCCGATGTTATTTAAATTTATCTCTTGTTCACACATTCTATACATTGTATTCCAGGAATTCTTTGTTAGAATCATATATCTATTGCTTCAAATCTCTTCTCTAAATTGTCGTCCATATTATCCAAATATGAAAATAACACTGTCATCTCATTTTAACAGATATACAGGGTTCAATGTATAAATTGTCGTCCAAATTATCCAAATAAGAAAATAACGCTGACATCTCATTTTAACAGTGTCATGGGTCCTTACCTATAACTACAGAAAAAACTCTTCCTAACACTATGTATACTACGCCTCTCAAGAGAGAGGGACAAATCGAGTCGAGCGGAGAGTAGTTCACTCCAAACCAGACTGACAGTCATACTAACACCTTCCACATCTTGTATTATTATTTCGTGTAATATACCTTCGTTATTTCTACTCTTGTGTTCGTGTTGTTCTTCCTTGGTCCTAACCTGGACCATAACAAACAGATATGCAGGATGCGATGGATAAATTGTTGTCCAAATTATCCAAATACGAAAATAACGCTAGCATCTCATTTTAACAGATATACAGGGTGCGATGGATAAATTGTCGTCCAAATTATCCAAATATAAAAATAACACTGACATCTGATTTTAACAGATATATGTAACAAAATTACACAAAAATATCTTGAAATTAAAGAGTAAATTCATTCAATAAAATAGCCATTGTCATCAACCATGGCATCGATCTCTTGCATCTTTTCTAGACGATCTACTGTTGTTGAATGCTGCCTTCAGTTCATCTTTAGTGTTACAAGGAGGTCTGTTGATCTCTCGCTCAACTGCACCAAAAACATAACAAAGGGGCTTGCACTCTAGGGGGTTAGGTGGCTTGAGGTGGGGGGTGAGGTGGTCGCAGGAATTGTTTGAAACCACGACTATGCTCTTATGTTGGTGTGGCATGGTGCAGAGTCCTGTTGCCAGACATAGGGTCTTCCAGAGAACGACCCTCTTGACTAGCTCTACCTCTTAAAGGCATTTGAAGTAGGCCTCCATGTAGAGCATGAAGATCTCACCAATAAACTCGGGAGTTCTTTTCTTCTCAGAACGAACAGAGTGAGATTTCAGAGCTGCCGTACCTTCGTAATCACCATTAGACTCATCCAACTCTTTCCGAATCGTCTACACTGTTCTCCAGTCGACACCCAAACACTCTGAAATGTTCGTATTAGAGCATCCGGTGCGAATGCCAAGCAGTACAGCATGAGGTTTTCCAATTTTCTGGTGGAGTGAATTACGTCATGGTGCTCTTGTTCTCACAGACGGTACCCAACTGACCCTATTATACTGTGCAGCCGAAAAAGTCAAAAACAAACAACGCGCATGCGCGAATTTAAAAATATATAATTGCGAAAATTTACCCATCGCACCCTGGAAGAGATTGGTTTTGGCATAGCACTTCAGCTCTGTCACTTCAAGTCTTTTCTTCAATCGGGAGGAGATTGTCTAAGATTGAACGCCATATAAATGTTTAGTTTGTACATTCAACACTCATTTTGTTCCTAACGAGAATTTCCTATTTCCTGATATTTTGCTTAGTTTCACGTAGTCTTCCAGCTACTGGACTTGACAAACCCATTTTCCTAAAAAAATTGTTTTAAGAGAATGATCTTAGTATCTGTCTATATTTCTGAGATGAGGTATTATGTACTCTATTTACATTATTCGGACTATTGTCCTCATCTTTGTCGCCATATTTATTACAACGTTTCGGTCGTTGTACGCTCCGGTCTTCTTCTTTTAACAGGAGATAACTGACAACTGACATCCATTAAACATGGCATGTGGAACTAGAACAGTCTACCCCAGTGAGTGAAATAAAGGGTTCAGTTCGACATTCCAAACACCTAAAGAAGGCCGGAGCGTACAACGGCCAAAACTTTGTAATAAATATGCCGACAAAGATGAGAACAATAGTCCGAATAACGTAAATAGAATGATTTTATAAATTTTAACTGATAATAGTATTGGTTGCTCGCTCAGCGAATGCCAAATGTTTCCTTATAAGGAAACAGTTAATATTAAGATTACCATTATGACATTAAGCAAAAAAAAAATCGGTTACCGAGAGCAATTCCTTAATGTCTTGAAATTGCCCCCTTGGTACCAAATACACATTTTTTTTTTTAATCATTGAACCTAATAAAGGCAATAAAGCCACTGAGGTGCAAAGCTGATCGTGTATACAGATTAATGTTCCCTCTAATTGAATGGAAAGTTATATCAAGATCAAACCGCTTCTGTTTCTGTTACTTCTGAATGGGTTTCAGACAGACTCCCATTATACCAGTGGAGGGGGGGGGTTGAAAGGTTATCGGCTCGAACATTTTCCCGAAGTCCGAGTAAACAGTATTTTTTTAAACTCTTCTTTGTTGGGCTGTGAACTTTCCAGCACCCACTAACGATAACAGATCCGGGTTCGAGTCTTACCATGGTCGATTTGTCAAGGGGATGAATTGTTGATAATATCAGCCCGGAGAAACATTCTCCATTTGGAAATCCCTGAGAAACCATACCCCGGCTTTGATCTAAGGCTTTTGAGCGTAAAGTGGGTAGACGAAACTGTTGGCAAGCCGTCCATGTTCGTTGCTATTTAGCTTAAAACTTCTTTGTTGTCCAGGCTCTCCGTGAAAAGCATTCACAGTATCCTCCTGTATAACTTCACATGTGATGCGTCAACTTTACCCTTCATATGCGAAGACATCTTTCAGAATTCATTATAGGAATATAGATATACTACACAGCAGTTTATCACTTTGTTCACAGATAAATTTCCTTGTTTCTTTATATTGTGCTTAGTTTCTCGAAGACATCTTTCGCTATTCCAATGCGTTTTTCTCGGATTTCCTTTTCCTATTTTCCACCGTTCTTTATGGCACTTCACAGATACCTGCTTTTTAACATCTTTAATTTGTAGGCCAGATCTTGGGCTGTTCGTCTTGCTAATAAGCATTGATTCTCTTTTTTTACATGACAGCGTTATGTCACTTCACAGATACCTGCTTTTTAACATCTTTAATTTGTAGGCCAGATCTTGGGCTGTTCGTCTTGCTAATAAGCATTGATTCTCTTTTTTTACATGACAGTGTTATGTCACTTCACAGATACCTGCTTTTTAACATCTTTAATTTGTAGGCCAGATCTTGGGCTGTTCGTCTTGCTAATAAGCATTGATTCTCTTTTTTTATATGACAGCGTTATGTCACTTCACAGATACCTGCTTTTTAACATCTTTAATTTGTAGGCAAGATCTTGGGCTGTTCGTCTTGCTAATAAGCATTGATTCTCTTATTTTACATGACAGCGTTATCTAGAGTTGATCACGCCAGATTGTACGCTCTTTTGCAGAAACAGCAAATGGTTTCTAATTAGGATATTTGCATCATATAGCAGTTGTTCTGTGGTTGTCGAAGAAACATAAATATGTCTGAGCGGGTGTCTGCAACAGGTATTAGTTAGTGACCATAGCAGACAGATGTATAGCTGAAAAGCAAAATGTTTCCAAACA